GATGTGAGCTCCGCTGGTAGCCCCAATTGGGCTCTTGGCTTTGTCGTGGCTGTGCCCGATACTCGTAAGTGACTAAGGAGGGATTTGTCCCGTCGCATTCAGAGCCGGCGGTTGGTGTTAAGTCCGAGTGGGTAGTTGACCCCGGGTACTCCCCCTTCCACCCCTTCCTCCCCATCCCTTTCTTCCCTCCGACTCCCACTGTGATGGGGAAAATACAAATAGGCTTTTTTTTCAAATTGTAATTTATATATTATTAATTAGACCCCTGGTGTGGTAGATATCTTCTATTATTATGATAAATAAAGAATGTTGTCTGGTATCAATAAATTTATTAGGCTTACGATCGTTTCGATCGCATAGCGATCATCCTCAGTGCTGAAATTCGAAATACAAATATTATTTACAGAATGTAGGCATTGTATGCAAGATGCATAAGCAAACTGGGTCCTACATACCTTGCAGCTTCCGGGCCGAAAACACACAAATACGCAGAACTTTGTTTTCGGCCTGAAAGCTGCAAGGTATATAGGACCCAGTTTGCTTATGCATCTTGCATACAATGCCTACATCCTGTAAATTATACTTGTCTTTCGAATTTTAACACTGAGGTTGATCGATATGCGAGCGAAACGATCATAAGCTTAATAAAAAAGTTATTGATACCAAACAACATTCTTTATTTATCATGTAATTTATATAATTTATTCTTTATCAAATTCTTTTCACATTTATTTGTCATCACTTTTAATTTAAGTAACTTCATCAGAGTTCATTTTTACAATGCAGAAGTAGCACTGCTCTTTGCATTTTTTGGTATAAACGTATTTAACAATTTTAGAAATCTATTTTGTCGGTCATGTCGCTTTTAACGTGTAAAATCGCAATACTGTTGAGCCGAAGCAACATCGCATATACGTTTTCAATCGATGCATTACCATATTTATACATTTCTGGAGTTTGATGTATATGGGTTATTTTTCTCTCCTTAAAACCCAACTACGTATTGTACCCACTCGAATTTTCGATGTTGCTACCATCATACCCGGATTATCCGGGGGCTTAGGCGCACTAGAGTGCTTCTTTGGGTTCCGGAACCTGCCTTAAAATTGGAAGATCCGATCTGGCGGGCCGCTTCTACCAGGCTTCTTTGGGGAGCCATCGTGAAAGAGCGTTGGGCTCTGGTGTATCCAGGTGTACTAGTGCCATGCTAGGAGGCGGTTGGAACGCGTAGAAGCCTGCTTTGAGATGGGTAAACCATACGTAAGAAACCATTTGTCTGCTCGGCGTGGCTTGCCACACGAGAGTGGCAGAGGTAAACCGTAACAGACGTCTATATCGTAGCTTTTTATCAGGCGGACGGGATTGAACCTTCGGTCTTGTTTTTAAAAGCCCTGGCGGGGAATTTTAAACTCCTGCCCATTTCCCTGTGATAGATCGTTAGCATACTGTTGACAACAGTGCGAATCCTGGGGGGGGCGTCTCCGTGCCCACTACCACTGGGTTTAACAACTCGGGTACCTTAGGCTCTTGTATTCGTCGCTAAATTCATGGGTTATTGGGAAGAGCTCGTTCGAGTGCAGTTTAATGCGGTCCTGAACTGTTACGAATCAACTGAAGTCATGTATCCGCAACAGCGTATGCATAAGTAATGCTGCAACCGATTGAAGAACAATAAATTCAGCTGCAGCTGTATTGCCACTCCCTAAACGTTCATTGGCCTCTCCTGAAATAATTTCAATAAGAACACTTTAAGTTCAAACACAAGTAAATATATTACTCGAGAATTCGTATAACCAGAGTCAATCGGCAAATGTTACCTTCTCCTCTTCTGAGGATACCTTGGATATGCGCTTCCGCGGATACATATATGTGTAGAACCACTGATTAATTTTCTGAAGTACTACCCTTCCCAAGGTTTGCCAAACTTCTAATATCTTGAAGTCGCTGCGAATTGGGTTTTAAAACCAGAATGTCACGTTAATATTCGTAGCCTACATTGCGTCGTCCATTCTCAAGTGAAACTCCACTCGATCTCCCTTTCAACAATTCGCGTCTCTATATATATCCGTAGCCTACATTCCTAACTACAGTATGGTGGAATCACACAAATACCTTAATAAAGTTGCCCAATGTGAGTTAACATTATACAGTTGAAAGTTAAATAATCGAGTGAGTTTTTCAAATTAAATGAAAGGAGTGATCATATAACACATTGGTCATTTTTAATACGTATAACAACAAAGTAAAATTGTAATAAAGTAGTATCCCAATCACTTCCGCTCCACCGATACAGAGAAATGAGATGTTTGTTATTCGACGTCCTTTTATTGAGAACTGCTCATATATTTGCAGATCCGTTCATGTGAAATTACCCACAAAAGGTGTTTTTTTTAGTTTTTAAGCAATGAAAGTGTGTGACTTAAAGATGTAACAGAGGTAATTTGATTCTTCTCGTCAGGACCAATCTATTGACACATTCACTCGTCAGAACACCGTAGAATATTCTGAAGTTTTGTAGAAAAGTTTTTTTGACGGTTTCATTGCAACTTCTATGACATTCGTGAAACACTGTGAAATTACTATATTTATCAGCATTTACATGTATATTAATGACTTAATTATTTAGACATACAACAAAAATGCTAACTTTGCAATGAAACAAAAAAAATTGAAGAAGTACTTTAATCGATTTATTTTTTATTGTAACTTTCTGTTTTATAAAATCAAAAAGTGGAACAATTTTAATATGTTTAAAATTATTTATATTATGAACTTTCAAAGCTCAAAAACAACTTTCCAAATACACGATGTAGGCACTACAATATGGTAGAATACATTATTTTAACACATTGCAGTCTATTGAATATTCCTTAACTGGCGAGTGCGGCGAGGAATGTAGTTTCGAGTGATTTTTGGTATTACACAAGTAAATCTGTGCGCCTAAGTGTGGTATTTGAGTCTCACATTATAGTTTTCGAAATGTTTAGGAATCTGGCTCGGAGGACACGAAGGAGGAATGCAGTGTTCACAGCGCAGAAACGATTATTACTCCCTCTGCCGAAGAGACATCAAAGGATATCTCACCAGGTGAGTAGGGCCAGTGAGTTGAAATTTCCAAATAGTGGAGTCAAAGAATGGCATTAACATTATCGTATTGCAGAGATTATACCTTTTAAATACGAAAAAAAAAACGTTTACGGCTGTAGCATTTAATTTGGGTAGAAATAAATACGACATTTATACCGCAATGTCCCTTCATAAACAATGTTTATCCCCATTGCAATAATACCTTTTATTTTGTACCTGAAGTAACAAAATGTCTTTTTCAATCGTTCCTGCTTCCTGCAAATTCTTTCTCAATAGCGCCAATAACAGTAAGGTATATTTTAGACAGGAGTGTCTGTCTAAAGAATCAAATGTACATATTTCGGAAGCCGGTTAGCTTTATGATATTTAAAAAATATTTTATCAATTATTTATTAAAATTTAGGAAAATTTATGTAAATTTCTTTTGGATATATAAGAAAACTTAAGGTTTTTGTAATCATTCCAAAAGTTTTCAAAGATACTGCATATCAATATTTTTTTGATTTTTTTGTGTATTTGTGAGGTAGTTTTGATGTATGTTATATTAAACATTTTTATTGTAGTTTGATAACCCCAATTAATTTATCTGTAAGACTATTATTTGCTTAAAATGTATATATCGAAGGAATTAAATTAATTGTGCATTTAATACAATACAACAATTTGTTCTTTACACCATTAAAAAGTTGGTTTCGAATGTAAAACATATCCCACATGCACTTTCGTTATAATACAATCAAATAAACATTTTGGTTTAAGAGACTTCAAAGGATTATGTAAAAACATCAACAACTTGCATCACCTTTCAGCCATAAACGACAATAATTGACTATCCCATGTCAAGAGCAACAGATCAAAGGAAAAAAAGATGTAGTGTCACAAAAAAAGCAATAAGTGATGTTATCATCTTTCACGATGGTGTACTTCGATTTATTACACACAATAATCATAGAAGTGTCCAAATTAGTGCTTATCTACAACGGGACGTTGAAAAAGTAATTATTTCTACCGAAAGGGACATATCTAGCAGAAAAGTTTGCAATTAAATCTCCGATTAAAATCAACATAATTTTCAGGTGCGAAGCACGAGCATTTAAAGAATGCTCCCAAGAAAGTTTTATTTTCCAATTTCGTTGAACATTTCAAAAGCAGTAAATAGCAATAAAATATTAAGTCATCTCCATAAGCGCACCTTGCATTATTGTGATTTTAAAAAGTTAAATTGTCACTGAAGCATTTCATAAAACAACAATTGCGACTTCCAAACAAAGCACACCTGCTTTTCACCTTTAAGCTGTCAAAGCCTCAGCTTATTGCACACAAATTCATTTCGAGATATTTGACAGTGACCTCTTCGTAGACTGCGGACGCACATGTTCCCGCCCCGGCTTTTCACATTTCTTGATTTGATGTTATCTCTTGACTGTTATTGTCTAACAGAAAGATCATGAATGCCTGCAAAAAATGTCAGTTTTGGCAGGAAATATAAAAAATGAACAGTGATTAAGAAATCATTGACAGAAATAAAGAGTAACTTAAAAACAGCATCTAGTTTTGGAAGACATTCTTCAGTGTCAAGGGTTTTTTTAAAGAGATTTTTCTTCTGTTAGACTAGAGAGGAAATTTGCAAAGACTCCATTACACGAAGAGAAAATAAATAAAATCTAATAAAGATCTAATAAAATAAACACGGAAAAACAAAACTTGTTTTTTCTTCTTTCCCTGCTTTGCTCTTATTATGCACTACCACTCACAAGTAACATTCGATATTTGGGCTAATATTTTCAGTAGTAAGTGTAAAGCTCATAATCAAAAATAAATACATAAAATTAAGAAGTCTCAATCGCATGTTAGTGAATGTGATGTGTTTGCTTCAGGACGATTACGGCAGTTTCCCGAGCAGAGACATTTCGATCCTGAGGCTTTAGTTGAAGACCTGATGGAATTTCAGAAGGTAAGATACTTCCTCTAGAACCTTCAGATTGTTTTAAATATTTTTTCTAAATTATTTGCGTAGAGCAATCCGTCTACCATCACCTCTCTCCTGGTAAACTCAATCCATATAAATTCTGCTTTTCGATGATTCCATGTGTTGGAATGGGCGGTTTACCTCTTTCCCAACGCACTCACGTGTGATGAAGACGAGTTTATCTACCAGCTGAACTAACGTCGAAAGCTGATTTGAAAACAAATTGTCTCTACTTTACTCTGAATTATGAAACCTCACTTATACACCAATCCTCATTCACACAAACCTTAAGTGAGCAATTGAAGTAACAGTTTCGGTCCATCCGACCATCCGAACAACTTTGACTCCACCAAGCCCACCCAACCAATACAATTCATTCCACCTAAATGACTTCACATCCAGCGAGCCCAAACCTTCAAGTCAGGAGGTACATTGAACCCATTTGAACGATCGGTCCGTTTGATTTATTAGGCCAATCGAATCCTTACGGCCAATCCAATTCACATGTCCAATCCAATCCACCTGCCAGTGCATTCCCCCCGCCCAACCAATCCATCCGAGGCGGTCATTCCATTTGAACCATACGGACACACCAATCCAATTGACCTATTCGACTTACTAAGTCCATCGAACGTGTCTAACAAACATATTGATTCGACCCATCCAGCTTATTGGACCAAACCAACCCATTCAACTTGTCCCACTACACCACCTGATTTTACTTATCCGACCCCATTGGTGCATAATCTAACCCATCCGCCCCTTCGACCGATTCGCTCCAACCAGCGCATTTGAGCAAACCATCCGACTTGTTCAACTAAACCAACCGGTTCGACATGTCCAACCCGTTGGACTCCCCTTTGGTGGCGTGAAGTTCCAGGTGAAGCACATGCCGTCGAAGAAGATGTTCTTCGTGGTGCGGACGAGTCGGGTCGACTATCAAGAGTGGTGGTGCGCGGCCAAACAGGTTGTGCGCTTCTACGAGATACACCCGCCCGATCCCAACTTTGCCACCGCCTGCTTCAAGGTGGTGTTCTCGCGTGCAGGCCCCTCCGCCGCTCCCTGGCAGCTCTACGACCACCGCCTGCCCTTCGGGTGAGGAGGGGTGATAATAATAATAATAATAATAATAATAATAATGGGGATGGAGATGGTGATGAAGAGGGTGATAGTGATGAAGATGGGGATGATGAGGATGGTGATGGTGATGGTAATGGATATTGTGTAGGTGAAGGTGATAATAATTTAAGTCGTAGGCTTCCGCGACCAGAGTCATGTGGGTGATCTGGGCTGTCCGGGTGACGCCGCGTCGAAGGCTGAGTTGCCGACGTTTCGACCATCCTGTCGTGGTCTTCCTCAGGAAGCATACCAGCCCTGAGGAAGACCACGACAGGATGGTCGAAACGTTGGCAACTCAGCCTTCGACGCGGCGTCACCCGGACAGCCCAGATCACCCACAAGGTGATAATAAGTCTGCTCCGTGGCGCAGATGGTTACAGTAGCCATCGTCTGCAATGAGGAGGAACAACTTGCATGTTTCGATTTTTCGTAACGAACGACGAACTGTAAAATCCTGGACACGGACCCCTGAAGAGTGGCTTATTGTTCGGTTAAATAAGTCAATATAAAGGGAACACTATTACGAAAAGTATTTCACAGAATTTCTTCATGACAATATATGCACTCCGTTGTGATTTTTGGTAAGCACTGCAAATCAAAAACTGAGGCACTCTATGTCTGAAAACATTCGGAGACATAACATCTATTCAAACTGTTTTGCGATTTTATTTATCGGAATTTCTTTTCGATGAATTTTAACAGAACATATACTGTGTCTTTTCAATTATCTGACTCACGTTTAATCGAAGGGAACAAATAACCTATTTAAAATGGGGACAAAAAAATGTAAAAATTAGGTACTCCACTAGTGGCGAGACTAAAACCATAAGGTCCGCTTGTCGTCTTACCACTTAAATTTACCCTCCCGTACTAGTTTTAATATGGATTATAATATTAACATCAATCTACTAATATTAACTAACGGTGATATACTATTAACATACTGACATTAATATACTATACATTAACTAGCGGATGCACTTGACGATGCTGTCGCCGATTCTGGGAATGTAAGGATTTCTCCGAATTCGAGTTTCGTTTCCTTGTTTCTTTGCTACTACATTAATCGGAATGTGTGATTCTATGATTTAAGGTTCGTTGGAATCTGTTGATCTTCCACGGTGAAGTACACCAAAAAAATGCTTTAAATGAAAGAAAAACCTCAGTTCTTCGAGGTGGTACGAAAAAAAATTGGGCCTTACCGAACAGTTTTTTTAATAAAAGAAGTTTAAATTAGCACATGCTCTTATGGGAAATGTTTGGCGAACACAGGTTTTTTTACGGTATTGAAAATGTTATACGATGAAAGAAGCTTTTTTATTTTAGTAATTTTTTGAGCAATCATATGATAATAAATGTAATATACTTCACCGGGTATATTCTAAGGAGAAATTGATTAAAAACTAATGCGAAATTCATCGAATCCCGAAGTACTGGTTCCCGGCCTTGGAGTTACGCTGCACAAATCATGTTATTGGCAGCTCTGTTTCTTTTGGGGTGCGAGAGAAAACCGCTCTACTTGAAAATGTACCACCCACAACCAAAAACAGACAATTGTTTTTCAGCGTAAACAATGAGGACTAATATTCAACGCAGAAAGAAAGAAATGTACAGACGCCTAAGTCAACCTAATCTCTATTAAATATTCCGAACTAACGAAAATGAAAAATCATGAGACTACATTTAATAATACTATTTATTTTTATAGATCACATATTCAATACTTCTCCTTTATCTATTTACAAATATTGTTTAATGCTACGTTCGCGTTTACAAGAAGCTATTAAAAATCTATTGATGTAATAAATGGTTCAATGTTCGACTAGCAACTGGCATGGGCATACCTTAACTGATGATCTCTGAATATGACCTTTCTTTATAATTCTTACTGTATAATTGTAAACTACTTGTAGGTCAGGCATTTCTTTCAGTTTGCCTGATCCTTTGAGCAAATGCTGAGATAGCCCTTTGTTTTACTTCTGGACATAAATGAAACATCATTATCTGTGCACGTCTTCTAGAATTTAGTGGGAAATATAGTTATTTAAATTAGTGTTTTCCATATTGTCAAGGACTGAAGTATAATTTCTTCTAGAAGGACATAACGAGGGATAAAATCCCAAATCTATAGCTGATTTACCCTTGAAAATATATTTTATTACATCTAAGTGAATATTTTGTTAACAATCCTTGCAAAAAACGCTCATTTTTTTGTATATTCAAAATTCAAATAGTATGTGAGTATGATAGGGATATTTAGTGTACTCAAACTTCAACTAGTGTATGTGGCTTAGGGTAAGGATCACAGAATTGAGAAAACGTGCCCGGAATTCACTTTTCCCTGTAGGGCGTCACACACAGTTTTTAACTGACTTTTTTGCGTAAAATAATTTTAAAAAAAATAAAAATTCTTACGCCAACGACAGAATGCAAAACGTAACCGGAATTCACTTTTCCCCGTAGGGCGTCATACACAGTTTTTAACTTTTTTTGGCGTAAAATAATTTTAAGAAACTAAATGAAAATTCTTACGCCAACAACAGAATGCATATCCCGCCGACGGACGGGTTGGACAAGATGGCGTCGTTGGGGGAGGCGACCGCGTGGCTGCGCGCGGTGCTGACTCTGCTGCTCGCCCACGAGGAGCGCGAGGTCGCGATTCAGCAGCTGCGCCAAGACCGCCAGCGCTTCGCAGACCCCAGCACACAGGTGACGAACAGCTCTGCTGACCGCTTAGTGGTTGCGGCGCAAGTAGTCTTATTATTAAGATTAAATTTTTTTAAATTGGTTGTCACAATATAATTATATTTACTTGTTGTTTAGTCCCTTACTTTAAATTGATGATTATCAGTTGAATTGAAGAATGATTGTCAGTTGAGTTATATTGGCCAAACAAAGAGAAGAATTTAACAGAGAATAGCAGAACATAGAAAATATATCAGTGAGGTTACAAATAGACAAAATTCAATATCCCAACATAGAATTAACCTAAATAATTCAATAAATTTTGATCAGTTTCATATTTTAGTGGTAGAACCCAACAGAAATGAAATATTAATACTAGAAACATTAAATATAAAAACTCAGAATACAATGAATACAGTTATAGAATCCAACCACTTTACAAATATTCATGACCAAATAATAAATATTTTCCGACATTAACACCTCCCTTTTTTAACATTAGGATCAAACCTTTCTAAATGACCCTTCAACTATCTCCTAATTTCCGTTATTCCTCTACTATCAACGACTCAATTTAAACGTTCAACAGTAACGTGGCTGGATAGCACTCCAACACTAATTTTAATATTCAGATATGTTTCTCTTATAATTTGTAAATATGGTATATAGTTTTTGTATATATTAGTTTTAGTTTTCTGTCATAACAGGCGAGGTTTCTTTGAATTGGATACAGAATACATTTATTTTATTTTTGTAATTTTGTGGAAATCTTTTTGGCTTCATGAAAAAGTTTGTAATTTATGGTTTACCTGATGAGGGAGACATAAGTGTCCGAAACATCGTAACACAAGTGAATAAAATTATGTGAATATATTTTTGGCAATTTTCATAGTGGTTGTCCATAATTTAAAATAAGGGGTCAAACAACAAATAAATGCAAATAGTCTTAGTTTTATTCTATTGTTACATTTTTCCATCCAAAAATATCATTATTTTCATAATTTCTGACCCCTCTATATTTTGTTGGAAGATTTGACAAAGAATACCTCATATACTAACGGTATAGGGGTAAAAGGAGGAAAAGATACTTCTTTCTTCTTCTGGGTCTTTTTCCAGATTTAGGGGAAGCCGATTTCATCTATCTTCGCCAAGAACCCACCATGTCCCTCATGAGGACACACATTAACCTTTATGCTAGACACTGATACTCATGCGGACTTTTCGGTCTGTGGTCAGCAGACCTACAAGGCCTTCCGCGAACACACATTCGTAAAGTGAAGGGACAAACAGCCATGACCTCGGCAGGACTCGAAGCAATCATACTTCGGACCAAGTACCATAAAACCTCGCGTCTATAAGGAAATTTTCGTTGAAACTTTTGAAGCCGTTTTGAAGAAAATAGTGTTTATTAATCGTGCAAATTATTTGTGTAATTTAAAAAAGTAAAATAATGCAACAAAATGACTTTTCTGACAACTTAGACAGTGCAATTCGCACTACCTATACGCAAAATCTGAAGTAAAAATTTGAATCCATTTTTGCTTCCTCATGTAGGTATGTATATACGAAGTAATATACGAAGTGTAGAAAAAGATATGTACTTAGTTAGAAAAAATTAATTTGGAGATTTCAACGGAAGTACACGTTTTGAGGTCATCTGATACATAAATGTTGTTGTTTTTCAAAATGATGTTCAAGCGTTTCTGAAAATGTGAAATGTTGAGCTCAGTTTTGTAGTTGTAGGAAAATGCCGAATGAATTCCAACTTTTGCAATTTTCGAAACTTTAAAGATAAGTAAAAATTGGACCTACATCACATTTGTAATTTTACTCTATTCTTACAAAAAATAAATGAAATAGCGTTGAGCCATTTTTGAAAAAAAATTGAAAATGTAGCATAGGCCTTCATGTAAATTACCCCCAAATACTCGGGAATTGTTACTGTGGAGAACATTTGTTGTGTAAATATTATTGGAAGCAAGTACAATTAAAATGAAATTAAAATCGATGAAATCAGCAAAAATGCCTTAAAATGACTGAAAAAAGTGAAAAAATGACTCATGATCGGAATCGACAAAAAATGCAAAACAAAATACAAAATGGATAATTTTGTTTTGTCATAACAAACATTTAATTTCTGTACTAAACGACATTGTTCTAAAGTGAAAAGAAAATGACATTTCATTAAAATCTGCCCCTTAGTTACGACAACGTATAAACATTGAATGTAATTTTTGTTACAGTACTATTTTAAAGTATTTGGTGTCACTGCGTCTTGAAACTTTGTAAATTTATCTAATGAAGGGATTTATCTGATGATTGTTATTGTTTACTTAAGCATTATCCTTTTTTGTACAGTCTGAATTATGTTATAGTTTCAAGTGTGAACATTTTGTCTGGCAGGTGACCGCGATCGGCCCGATTCTGCTTCTTAAGTTCAACTTTGCAACCCCGGCAGAAAGAAGATTAAAAGAATCTGCCTACAGGCTAACTGTGATTGTGAGTTTCGTTTTCTTAATTTAAGACAAAAGAAATTTAGTTAATGATGAACTGAGGATAAATAACAATAAAAATATCTTTATGAAAATTCTGTAACTTTATCTCATACACAACCTGAAAACATGGCCGGGAATTTGAGAAATAGTTGCAAATCTTTGTATTTATCTCATAGAGGGACAACATTAAAGCTTGAAAAGGAAATATATTTATAATTAGGGCCCGAATGTATATGATAAAAAAAAGAAATAAGCAAGCATTTATGAACTAAAATTACAAAAATATGACCATATATATGATTTGAAAAACGTTTGGTTGTGTTTTCGAAACCGTCAGTCTTTCCTGTTTCAATAACCATTATATTGAAAATATACTTTTTAAAATGTAACACATTCACAATTCACCCCTTCTCCTTTGGCGCCCCGTGAATACAAATCTACCAACTAAAGTTATATCTAGATGCGGTAAACTGAACTGCTGTAAACAAATCTGAACTAATATATATATATCATATATTATATATATATATATATATTAGTTCATAAAATTGCATATAATTGCATAATTTTAGTAATTGCAGACAAAATCCTGCTTAAATTGTTAAATTTTTCTATTGCAATATCACAAAAAAATATGGTTTGGTCACGTCATCAACATCGGGGCCCTAGTTTCAATTAAATAAGAAATTCTAAAAATAAATAATTGTTGAGGATTAGCCAATTCAGTAAAGTAAATAATTTAATGAATGATGAAGTTATTCTCCATAATTTAAATATAACGGAAGTCATATGTTTTGCAAGATTTCATGATGTGTCCATAGGCCAAGTTTGAGGGAGATTGTAGCCTGCTCCCCGGGGATGTGGAGTTGTACAGCCACACGAAACGGCTGCGTCCCATGGAGAAGGTCCTCCAAGTCGTCCTTGAGGATGTAATGAAGACTGGTAAGTAATGGTGCATTCTTGTAATTTATATTCCAAACCAGTGCAGTAGTTTAAAGTACAATCCAAAATTAACATTTAGAAGTTTTGGATGTTCCAAAACTTTGTTTCACGTAGTATTTTTCGTTTTTACTTTTTTGTCTATGTATGTATATACGTATCGTAGTATAGAGAAAATTATGTAATGCTGGGAAAAATCGACTTCGAGATTTCAACGGAAATCACGTTTTGGGACCCTAGATACTGAAAAAGTGTTTTTGGTTATTCCAAAACGTCAGTCCGTCGGTCTCCGTGAATATGGATGTTCCCCGGTCGATCTAGCTCGACTCGAAGCGATGCGACATTGAAAAACATTCTCATAAAATTTGGCGATAAGAATTCCTGGCGACATTTTCAAATTTTCTTCGAAATGGTAAGAATGAAATAAAATGCACTTATAATAGTGGCTAAGGTCCTATGTTAGCTCTGAAATTTAACTATAACTCCGAATTTTCGAAAATTGAAAACTTTAAATTTTTTGGTGTCTTCCTACACCTACAAAATTGAAGATAGAGATTTTCTCCGTTAATAATTCAAAAAAATATGTTCTGTATATTTAGTTATTTCAATAAGTTCATGTACATTTTAGTAATTTTCCCACAATATTGTGTGCATTTTGTGGGAGATAAAAAAATAACAAATGCCCAAACGACATTTTCTCAGAAACGGCTCCAAATATTTTCTTCAAACCTTTCGTACGTATAGTGGAAAATGTACTGTTTTAAAATATAAAATAATTTTGCTGTATCCTTTGTTTTTCACAAATGTATTTTTTAAATATATATCTGACATCTTAGTTTGCATATTTCTAGCAATTTGTGTACAATACTACGTTGGCGAGTGGAATTGCTTCAAATGGCATCCAATACAGTTATTCGAAAAATCAAACAATTTCTGTGAAAATAAGCTTCAAATTTGGCTTTTACAATAACACTTAAACGTCATTTTCTCAAGAACGGCTTATTATTCAGCGAAAAAAGACGATATTGTACTCTTCAATACTACTATTGAAATAACATTTCAATTCTACTATTAGGAAACCGAAAAATTGAGAAAATGTCAAACAAAAATTCTTTGGGCGACGAGAGATGGCAACTGGCAAGGGTATGTGACAAGTCCAAAAGCCAGCTTAGAAGAGATTAGAAAACTAATACTGAAAGTCTATGCCATTCCGTTAGCATCACTAGTTTTAAATTTTCATTATTAATTAATATTCGGAACTACTGGTGCTATAGAATGGCCCAAAATTTTCTTTCATTCTTTTAGCATGTCCACACCATTGTATGAAGAAAATACATTATAACCTAAGCACATTTAGTAATAATAATAATTTATTATTATTATTATTATTATTATTATTATTATTATTATTATTATTATTATTATATTAAGGTATATCTGACATTTAAGGGCCAGATTTATAAGACTTCTCTAGCGGTGTTCCCAGGACTAGGATAAATGATGTGTCAGAAAAAGAATGACTCAAATTTTTCACCGAGGCCAATCGTTACATTAAATCCATTTGTGTCAGAGGCCCGAAATTTAAAAAAACATAAAGAAAATACGTTATAATCTTAACATTTTCAATATTAAAATATTGCTTTATGTTTTGTTCATATGCATTTTGAATCGACATTTTAACAATAAATTTTTTAAAAAATATTAAGAAAAAATTTGAAACTAATTTTTAGATACGTGAATTTGTCGTCCACGAGTTCACAACTACTAAAATTAGTAAACAAAACTACTACTACTAAAAATTGAAGAATCGAATATAATTTTTTATTTCTTCGATTCTTTCCTTTTTTCTTTCTTTTTTCTTGAATACAGATAAATATAACACGTGGTTAAACCAAGAAAATAGTTGTATCACGTGTGTTTGTATATTTTAACAATTATTTCAGGGGGTTAAAAGACATTCATTGAAATTTTAAAAACCAATTTTCTTCGTTCAGCAATTTGTTAAAATTTTTAGTATTGATTCAACCACAAACTTTATTTCTAGTTTTTAACAAAGAAAATATCGCTGTTTTTTCTTTTGTACAAGTAGAGGGACGATGATTTAGATTACTAATGACAGTCAAGAAAGCAACCCTCGGGGTAATGGCTTTAAAGTTCAATTCAGGCTAAACAAATTCCTTAGTTTTTCTTCTTCCGAGCCGTCTGTTTTCCTATTTCAATATCCTCCATTAGTTTCCTTTCTTTTAAATGTCTACTTCTATTAGTGTTTCTTGGTGTTTTCTGTCTTTTTGATTCGTTCTTTTATTCCTCATTTTTTCACCATTTGCATCTGAAAAAAAACAGGAAAATATGATACTCATAACATACAACACTTCATAAATATCGAAATTAAAAAATGGATTATAGAAAGAAACTGCTTCGCAAAATTGAAAATCCCAGGTGAGTGGTTATGACATTGATTTTGCGCGTATAATATAGTAAACCGACGACGCTGTGTTGCAGGTCGTGCCAGTTCTTCGCGGGTGCACTTGGACTCTCCGCTGGTGGAGTTGGTGCGCGGATGGTGGGACGCACTGGTGTTCGTGTTGGCTGGAGCCGAAGCTGCCGTCGCCGCCGACGCCGCAGCAGCCGCCGACGCAGCCGAAGAGGCCCGCACCCCGTCCTCCCCTAGTACATCTGTGAGCTCCTTCCCCAGCCTCATCGTCTCCCCGTGCAAGCCGGCGGGCGTCGACACCCGTCTCCCCACACCCATCAGGTCACAACCCGGCAGCTCCCCACCCCGCAGCTCCCCACCCTGCAGCCTTGCATCCCGCCGTTCACGTCGTCCCCCCACACCATACAGAGCCACACCCCGCAGGTCATCATCACCGGGCAGCTCCCCACCCTGCAGCCCTGCGCCCCGACGTGCCCGTCGTCCCCCCACACCCTATCGAGCCATATCCAGCACCCCTACACCCCAGAGCACGCCACCCAGCAGCTCCCCACCCCACAGCCCTACGTCCCCCCGCCCCACATCCTACCTACCGAAACCCCTTAGCCCCTCGCCGCTTTTGCTGGCGTCAAGGCGTCTCGCTTTTCACAGACCCTCACCCCAATACTGCCCACCCCTCTACCCCCTCCCTCTCAGCCCTTCACCACCTTTGCTGGCGGTGCAAGCCCCCACGCCCCGCAGCACCCCACCGCTGGCCTCGAGGCGCCACACCCCCCAGAGCCCGCGACTCGATGCCCCCACTGCCGGTGTTCCGCAAGGTTCCACTCCCAGGAAGCGCGGACGACTCTCCGGCCCTCGCCGGAAGCTCCTCACGACCAGCACTGACACCGACCGCAGCAGGGCAGGGTAAGTGCGCTTTAACATGCGTCCCTACCTGCGACGGTGAGCAGGCAATGACGTCTTCGGAAAAGCTGACGAACCAGAGAACAGATTGACAACAAATTTAGTAATAGCCATACCCATTAGAAACGAGCAGATATTTGAAAGCCACCCAGTCGTTGAAGGTAACCCAAGAGTAATTAAACATTGTTTTTTTTTAAATAAAGTGTTAGACAATCAGTATTTAAAAGACATAAAAATATTATAATTCATGCAATACCAACACAAATGGATGTAGGAAAAACTAGAAACTGAAACCTCAAAACTGTCAAACTGACTTCTTATCTTCTGATGAAGTTGTTGATGATAATAATACTAATAGTAATAAAATAAAAACACACATATACTTCGAACCATTAAAGCGTTTGTTCATAAAGTTTGCTCGAATACATTTTGGGCGGCCAAAAATAGAGGTTACGATTCAATATGTAACCGTAATACGCGTTTTTCACATTATTTTAAAGTAATCCGAAATGGATTAAGGTGACGAAGTGGGCAGAAACGGTGAGGTGGGTGGGGCAGGTGGGATCAGGGGATGGAACGGGGAGAGGGCAAGGTGGGCGGGGTGATTTAATTTTTTACTGTAAAAAATGAAAGCCTTGGCAACGCAGTCAACAGCAAATAATGAAGTAACTTTAGCCAAACAATTCATTCTGAAATCAAATCATTAAAATATTATTCTGAAATTTGTTGGAATATTATACTGAAAAGTTTAATTCTTTTATCTCTACCACTTATATTTTCGTAAGAAAACTAATTCGAAATGTTGATAAGTGCGCACGTGGAGCGGCGTCACTATTAATCTCGCAACACACGGTATGCATCTGCTTTCCGACTCACAGATCTTGCATAACTCGGTGACGACACTCATTGTACCGTGAAACCACAATCTCTTATACACATTTAATATTTTCACTATATTCTCTGCCGTCTCGCTGTAGCTGACATCCTCTCATTGCGTACGTCTAATGCGCATATCTTGCCGGCAGGAGCAGCACTCGGCCCAGCATCGCCACCCGCAGATCGAGAAGCCAACTAAGTTTTGCATCGGACTCCGAGTCTTCCGAGTAAATATAATTTTCTCGGTGAGGAACATATAGAATTCTATCTTTCTTAACGTATTACTTACAGTATTATTCAAAGTATTGAGTGTTATTCCACTCCCCATATTTTACAAAAAATTTTTGTAAAATGTTTGTTGTTTTCTAAAAACTCGCAAATCTATTTCTGCGTAATCTTATCACATGTTTGAAAATAATGTCAGATTGAAAGGTTAACATCTTCAATATCTACAATCAAGAATGTGAAAATCATAGCAGAAGTTACTGGTTCATTAGAAAATGTGAAACAAAATGGGATTTTTTAAATAATTATTTAATCTTTTTTTTTTTTGCAAAGAAATGCTTTTCAAAGACGTGTATAATTGCCTTATTTTCATAATTCAGTAAACTAGAACAAACATTGTATTAGAATTTCTATGGTTACACCGGAAGGTTCGTACATAATAACGTATTAACAATTAATTTGATATATTATTTTCGTTTGAATTTCATACTACTAATTAAGTAGATTGAAAAAGATCTTTTGGATATTGAGTCAATACGGGCAAAATTATTGCATGATTTGCCTAATTTGGATGTATCAGTTGTTGGACGAGAGGAAAGAGAAAAATAAGAACGATTCCAAACGCCGCCAATCTGCCGTGGGAGAGCCGATCCGCCCTCCTGGAACTATGCTTGACCAACTTCGGTGACTACAGCGTGCTACGCAACGCGGTCGCCTGAGTGACACTTCCGCCGCCTTCAGGCCGTCCCCCCCCCCGCACCACCACCACAGTCACTACCACCACAACAACAACAGTAACCTCCACAACAACCACCACCACCAC